CCCCGTCGGCGAGCCGCTCCCCGGCGAGGGCAGGTCGCTCCCGCGCGAGCCCGAGCTGGGTGGCACCGAGGTGCGCGAGCTCGAGGCCTGCGAGAAGCCGCGGGAGCTGGCCGGCCATGATGATGAGGAGGATCATGGGGATGTCGGCGGCGCTGGGTCGCGCGGCTTGCCGGAGGGCGCCAAGGCGGAAAAGGCGGGGGTCGGGGTCGGGGCCGGCGGGGGCCCGGTCTTTGAGTTGGAGGGGAGTCGGCCGGGGTGAGCGACCTGGGGCACAGCAAAAGTTATGGCAAACCCCATCTGAATTATTATTATTTGGTGGGTTTCCACAGCCTGGCGCTCGCAGTTTGTCGCCTCGTTTGGCATAAAAGGGGATGGCACAGCGTTCAGCATGCTTTTTCGCAAGATTACCCCTGTGACATCGCCATCTTACATCAAAGAGGGCCAACACAACCGGCACGAGACTGTGGAAACGGTGGTTTTTCTAGCAAAGATATGTTTAGAATAGCCGCCCCGTTACATCCAGTAAGCCAAAAACAACATGCCCGCTTCATATGCCGTGAGCCTTGGACCGCGCCCTTTCGCTGAGCCTGACCCTCATCTGAGTCCCATCTACAGGTTTCGCCGTCACCTCCATGCCCTGTCACACCCGCAAAAGGGCAAGTTAGCACGACGGTCAATCGCAAGAGGCGGATGGAAGAAAAAGAAGATAAACGCACGTTAAACAGCTCAGACTTGCTCTCATAGCACCCCTTGGCGTTCAGCACCGGCCTGCCCGCCGAGTCCTTGGCGGCCTCGCCCAGCCCGACCTTTTCAAAGTCGTAGCGCGCGAGTGTGCAGGCCAGGATGACGCGGAACTCAATGTTGGCCAGCTCCTGGCCGATGCAATTGCGGGGCCCACGCTCGAACGGCCGCCACGCCGACGCCGGGATGGCGTTGTTGTTGTTATTGTTGCCCTGCTGCTGCTGCTGCTGCTGCTTCTCGTCAGTAGTCTCATCGTCGGCGTGCGTGTTGGTGTTGCCCAGCCAGCGCTCGGGCACAAAGTCGTCAGCGTCGGCGCCGTACACGTCCCTGTCGCGCTGGATCATGAAGTGGCAGACGTAGACGAGCAGGCCGTCGAGCGGGGGCGTCTGGGTGCCGTCGGGTAGCGTTAGCCGCGTGCCGGGCGCGGGCTGGCGCGCCGTAGACGCGGGCGGGTATAGCCGTAGCGTCTCCTTGACCACGGCCGACATGTACGGCAGCCGCGATATGACCTCCTCGCCGCCGGGCGCCAGCAGCCGCGCCCGCACGGCCGCCGGGTGGGCCGCGCCGCCGCCGGCGGTCCCGAAGACGGAGTCGAGCTCGGCCCGCAGCGACGCCAGCACCGCGGGCCGCCGCGAGACCTCGTACACGCACCACTGCAGCGCCACGCTGGTGGTGTCGTGGCCGGCAAAGGCGAACGTCTTGAGCTGGTCGCAGATCATGCCGACGTAGGCGTCGTCCAGACTCTCGCGCGCCGCCACGCCTTCCAGTCCAAGCGAGAGGACGCTACGGGATGATGTCGCCGACCGCTTGCCCAGCTCGTTGCGCATGGCGTCGAAGCGGGCCCGCACGTGCGCGTGGATGGCGCGGTCGAGCCGGCGCATGGCGAACCAGCGGCGCACCAACAGCGGCACGTTGAGCTTGACGAGCCCCGGGCCGGGCGGGGTCTTGAAGGTGGACAGCAGGTCCTTGAAGTGCCGCAGGATCGGGCTCTGCCGGCTCACGTCGGGCTCCTGGGCCGAGAAGTCGGCGTCGGCTACGACGGCGCCGATGATGTCGAACGTCAGGTTCACAGTCAGCTGGTGCAGCTCAAACATATCGCCCGACCGGGCCTTTTCGTCGAGCAGGTTCAGGAACAGCTCCGTCTTGTCGAGGATGACGGGCAGAAGGGTGAGGAGGTGCTTGGGCGCGAAGCCCGGGTTCAGGTGGCGCCGCAGCGATTTCCAGGCCTCGCCCTCGTGCAGCAGGATCGACTGTTGGCCCACGAGCGCCGTGAGCTCGCGCATGGTCGGGGACTTTAGCGTCGAGTACGGGTTGGTCTTGGTCGAGCGCGTGAGCTGCTCGGCCACGAAACCGCTGCAGATGTTGATCATGGAGTACGAGAAGGGGCGGAAGTCGGTCAGGAAGACGGGCGGGTTGCCCAGATCTTCCCTAATCCGCTGGAACGTGTAGTCTGTGGTTTCATCACGCCCTCGTGAGCACGCGAGCACACGAGCAATGAATGCCTACTTCTCCGTGGCAGCAGCGCCTTACCGATGTGGCATTTCGGGGGGAGCTGTTGACGACGGTCGTTAACCTTTATCGCGTGTCCCCAGGCCAGCGACGACTGCAGCTGGGGCCAGCCCCCGAACTGTTTTGTGCGGCGCCAAATGACATCGTGGTAGGTCCGGTAGGCCCAGTAGGCGAAGAGCAGGACGCCCGAGGCCACGAGGACCTGGGATTTTGTCAATAGACCGTCCATGCTGCTTGTCCTCTGGGTGTGGTTTGCGCGTGTGTGTGTTCCGACCGAGTGGGACGAGCCTAGGGCTCTTGTTTAGCTTGTAGATGCGCCAGCCAAAAGGTCGAGCAAGAAGGGGCAAGCAATCCCATATAAATCCACGAGCACAACCCCTGCGCCGGCGATCTAGCAGACGGGCTAGCACGGAATGGCTTGTCCCAGAACCCACGACGCAGGATGGGACTCTCGCCAGCGCTGGGGGGAGCTGCCAAAACCGGCCTAGCAGGCATGCTCTGACAGGCGGACGACGCCCCAAGTGAGGGGTTCCGTATTGTTGGCTATCGCGGCAGGGAGCCAGCCCACACAAACATTGTTGCTCCAAAGGTGCGCGTGCATGTGCTCTTGTGTGATGAAAGGTCTGGGCACCATAGCAACCCTGCATGACAGGCAAGCACCTGCAACCGGGTGGCGGGTGGGAACATGGCGACCCGAGCCCCAGGTCCGCGCTGGCCCGCGTGTTGGCAGCAAATAGGCGCCCACATGGGGAGAAGATGCATGAAGCCCGGAAGCGTCCCGACCCGAGGAGACGACGGCTAGAGCGTGGCGTTGGTGATTACCAGTCGCCCTGCGCGGGTTGAAACAGTGGCTGGCCCAAGTCGGGGAGAGTGTGATCAAGTCCGACCTCCCAAACCTGATAGGTGAAGGTCCCTGCGCTCATTGATCGCTTGCCACCCATCTGGGATGGCAGCATCGTATGTTTTCGTATCCTTCGTATGCCGCCATATCACTTAGCTAAGGTGGCCCATCAAATGCGTCCCGCTTGCCCCGCCCTGTTTGTTAGCTGACGGCTCACTCCCCGAGTGGCTGGGTCGGGAATTGATTGCTCCGGGATCGTTGTGGATTTTGGATTTTGACCACAGCATGTGACGAGGTGTAGTTCCCCCACTGCTCCTCATTCTTTGGTGTGGTCGGCTTGACATCGGACGAACAGTCAGGAAGTCCAGATTTTGCGATTCCGACATGCAAGGCCAGACCTTGGCTTGCGCCGTCGAGTGCAAGGCAGGCCAGGGACGCAAGTCTTTGGGAATGCAGTAGCACGGTTGTTGAGGCCAGTCCCAAAATCATGTCGAAACCTCCTTTACTCTTCTCGCGCCTTCTTCCATCCGCACGGCTCAGCCCGACGCAGGTATTCGGGCATTGGCATGCAGACGTTCCTGTGCCCCTGTCTCCAGATGCAGACCCCCGCAGGCATCCCAAATCCTAGCCCTGGGCAGTATTTGTGAGCCTATTATCCGGCGGATAGCCAGCAATCAAGTAAACATGGTATACACTTTTATTGGACGTAACCACCACGGCTTCGATTTAGGCAGGACGGTGATGGGGGCGGTTTTTCCCGGAAGACACTTTGGAGAACAATCTTGCAAATCGAGAGGATGTGGCCTCTAACGTAGCATACGAGGATTGCTGGGATGTCAAAAAATATTAGGTGGTTCATCGCGTCTGAATGAGTATCTATCTGGGGAGATATTAGATCGCTTGATCATTTGCAAGCCTCTGACAAAACTCGTACTTCACTCAGAGAATAACCATGTCTTTACGCCGAGTCCTCCGTAGTTCCTTGGCCTATCTCGGGCTTGCCGCCGTCGCGGCGTCTGTCGCCACGGCCGATCCTCAGGAAGTCGTCCTGCTCCACCCCGACTTCTGCCCATGGAACCCTCTAGGCCCGCTCCGCCAGCGAGAAGCGCCGCGCTGCCGGCCGCTGATCGACGACGAGATCACTAGTGACGCGGGCTCCTGGCCGCCCTGGACTCACACGCCCGTATGCTCCCGCGCCGACACTGACTCGGCGGGCGGCGGCGGCAACGGCAACGGCACAAAGTACTGCGCCTTCACCAATGCCGCCTTCCGCCAGTGGCACGGCGTCAGCTTCGTCGCCACCCCGCAGGCCGTCGCCGGCCTGTCGCCCGCCGCGCGCATGGCCGACCCAGCCGCGCACTGGCACCCGGCGCGGCGCTTCGAGCAGACGCAGCAGCAGCAGCACGGCGACGGCGGCCCGCCGTACGCCGTCGTCGCCATCCCGGGCAAGGGCAAGGGAGTCGTGGCGCGCCGCTTCGTGCCGGCCGGCGAGGTCATCATGGTCGACCACCCGGCCGTCATCGCGTCCATGGACTTCCCGCACGCTGTCGGGCCCGAGGACGGCCGCCGCCTGCTCGGCTCCGCCGTCGGCCAGCTGCCGGTGCGGCGGGAGGTCCTGGTGCTGACGAGGGGTGACAGCGGCGGCGGCGGCGAGGGCGGTGCTGGGGACGGGGTAGTGGAGAGGATCATGAGGACGAATACGTTTGGGGTTGAGATCGAGGGCGAGCTGTATATGGGGCTCTATACGAACATCTCGGTTAGTCTCTTCTTACTGAGCTCTTCTGTCCTTTACCACCCGAATCTGCAATACCGACTCACACAACCCTCTAGAGAGTCAACCACGCGTGTAACCCAAAGTAAGCACCAGAAACCCTCATCTACCTCATAATCCCGGGACGGCAGCGACCTAACCCCCAAACAGCGGTTTCACTCGATTCCACCCCACCGACCTGACCATGGACGTCAGTGCTGTGCGAGACATCCAGCCATACGAGGAAATCACAATAAGCTGTATGAGGCATCCAACCTCCTTGGATAACTAGGTACCTTGACTACCCATAGAAGCTGACGTCGAGGGTCATCCCAGACATCCCGCTGGGCCTCAACTCGCAAGCCCGCGCCTGGAGCATCCGCGACTGGGGCTTCGAGTGCGCCTGCGCCCTCTGCTCCTCGCCGCGGGACGACGAGCTGTCCGACTCGTACCGCGCGCGCCTGGCCCAGCTCCGGGGGGAGTTGCAGGAGCGGCAAAAGACCCCCGGCGGAAGCCACGAGGAGCTGGTCGCCCTGGCCGCGGAGCTGCTAGAGATTATCGAGATTGAGGGGCTCCGCCCGCACCTGGGAGAGCACTACGAGGCCCTCTCGGACGCCTTCGCCGTCAGGGCCGAGGCCGACGGCGGCGGCGGCGCCTGGGGCGACGCGGTGCGCTACCGCCGGCTCGCCCTGGACGCGTGGGTGCTGTACGGCGGGGAGGACCATGTGCACGTGCCGAATGTGAGGAGGAGGCTGGGTGAGCTGGAGAGGCTGAAGATCGAGCACGCAGGCGGAGCGAGGAACACCTAAGAGGGGATGAGGAGGTCTGGGAGTCCTGCTGCTGCAAAGTGTCACTCGTTTTCCTTCCTTCTGTCTCTTTGCTGCTCACTATAGTAGGCTTGCCTGGCTGTGATATTGCTCATATTCGCTAGTAAAATATTGGAATGCTGGCAGGGGCCGATATATACTATCCAAGAAAAAATGTGGGAGACGAGCAAGCCAAGTCCGCACACACCCGTCAGGGATGACGCATGTCCCATTTCTCTAGTCCTGGCCATTGGAGCGCGACCTCGCCCCGATAACGGCCTTACCGACGCTGCTGTCGTGCGGCTTACCCAGTTCCTTGGTGATCCAGGCGCCAATGTCGGCGACGGCGTCGAGGTCGACGCCCGTGTCCATGCCCAGCGTCTCGAGGAAGTAGACCATGTCCTCGGTCGCCACATTGCCCGTCGCGCCGGGGCTGTAGGGGCAGCCGCCAAGCCCGCCGACTGCGCTGTCAAAGGTGCGGACGCCGTGCTCGAGCGCCACGGCCGTGTTAACGAGGGCCTGGCCGTACGTGTCGTGGAAGTGCATGGCCAGGTCCTCGTTGCGGACCCCGGCGGCCGCGACGCAGCGCAGCAGTTCCTGTGTGCGCGGCGCCGTGCCCATGCCCGTCGTGTCGCCCAGCGCGATCTCGTCGGCTCCCATCTCGAGCAGGTCCGTGGCCACCGACGCGACCCGGTGCGGGTCCACGTCGTAGCCCTCGAACGGGCACCCGAGCACCACCGATATGTAGGCCCGCACCCGCAGCCCGGCCTCCTTGGCGCCCTGGATCACCTCGCGGAAAGCGTCGAGCGTCGTGGCGATATCGGCGTTTAGGTTGCGCTGCGAGAAGGACTCGGTCGCCGCCGCGAAGACGGCGAGCTCGACCGTCGGCTTGCTTGGGGATGTTGTCCGTGGGGCGTCGGGCGATGGTTTAGGCGACGCTGCTGGTGCTGGAGGCGGCGGTTCGGTTATGAAGGCGCTGGGGTGCTGGCGCAGCACTGCAAAGGCGTTGGAGAGCCCCTTGGTGTTGGGGGTGAGGAACGAGTACGAGATGGGCACGGGCGACGGGATGGGGTGCTTGAGGATGTACTCGAGGACCTCGCTCGAGTTGTTCATCTGCCGTCATTGGGAGGCTAGGAGTCAGATCCGACTTCTTTTCCTTGTCGCATTTGTTTCGCCTTGAAGAGGACAGGACACCTCAGACGCCACCCACCTGAGGAACCCATTTCGGCGCCACAAAGGATCCGGCCTCGATGGTTGTCAGACCGGTCCTGGAGAGCCTCTCGATCAGATCGATCTTGGTGGCGAGCGAGATGGTCGTCTTCTCATTCTGCAGGCCGTCGCGGGGGCCGACCTCGACGATCTTGACGCGGTTGTCCGACTTCGGCGGCGGCGGCGGCGGAGTGGCGTAGGCATCGGGCGACGCCGTCGCAAAGGCCCGGGTCCGAGAAACGGGACAGTTGGCGACACGCCGTATAGCAGCGCCGCCGTGGTGGAGGAGAAAGCGGCGGGTGAGGGGGCCTAGCGGTGCCATTGTCGGTCCCCAGGTGTCGACATCAATCACAGCGACCTAGATTGGGATTGCTTCGGGTCAAAGGACATGAGGCTGTCTCCTTGGAGGGCCAGGGGCAATGACGTTTAGGTCCAAGAGCTGTAGGTGGGTCCGCATACCGTCGGCATTTAGATGAGGGGATTCAAGGTCGCGTGCACAGTCACGTGCTCCCTTTGTAAAGCCCCTGAGCGCCGACTGCTGAGCAGACACCGTAACTTCGTGCCCAGATTCGGAAGATCTTTACCCCCTGAAGAGGAGGATATCGTGCGTTTTCTACGCCCCAGAACAAACTTTTTCGAGGTGGTTCTTCATGCCTTCATTATAACTGACGGTTCGGCTTCTCCCGTCCATTGGCTTGAACTGAATGTCCCAGCCAAGCACAATTATGTTTATTTGGCCGCCATCCAGGCGAAACTTCTCTGTCCCGTGGTTTGCGGCGCCACGAAGCCATGCCACTCATGGAGGTGCCTCTATAAGGCCGAAGCTAGCTAGAAAGGGGGCTCCGATCTTCACTGTTCGTCCTCCCATCTCCGCAAACAAAACGTTCACGATGTGGATAGGGAGAGAAAGTCACATTTATACAGCCATTACTATATATTCTACCAAGGCCTTGGTATGACAACACATCCGCTCAGCTGCCTGTCGCTATTCTGCCCACTTGTGTGCACATTTATCATGAGATACACCCCGGGGCGCAGGCTCCGCCCTAAACACGAACCCTTATGTCAATGTCTACCGGCGGCCCTCGATACAATTTCAGACAACGAAGACGCAAAGGAGATGGGGATATGATAGGTGGATCCTCCGGCGGTGGACATCGGGTCTCTGCCAGGCCCGCCGTGATGGCAACAGCAGGCCCTGTCCATCCGATCGCTCAAACCCCTAACCCCATACCGACGGTTGATAGGCGGCCCAGAACATCTGCCGATAGCATCCAGAGCTTCGAATGCCTACCCGCCATCCATCCTGAAGGCCATTCACCGCCGTCTTCCTCCGGCTCTAGCTCCACCCTTAGCGAGCCTTCGTGCTTGCTATGCTGGGGCTGCCGAGGTGGCAAGCTAGACACAGCACCAAGGATCAGCGGCGCTACACCACGGTCACCTGCGACTGTCCTTGTTGCCAACGCGGAAACTTCCTGCACGGAGCGCATTCCCATGGAGAACTTGACGTTCGTAATGAAGCCTAGCCCTGCCTGACGGGGAAGCAAGTCAAATCGCTAACATTATGAGCATTCCGCTTTTGCTCCTCGACATTTAGGTACAGTTACATGGCTAGTCGGGGCATTTTCACAACACCCGGGTCCGTCCAGCCCCCAACTTCCAACGTCAGGGGTGCCGTCAGTGGGAGCAGAGATGCGATGTCGCTGCCGGCGTTCTGTATCGTATGCGCCTCAGCCGAGTTTGTGAAGAGAACCGAGAACGAGATGCAAATTCGAAAGAGCAGAGACGGCAACGAGGCGATTGGGCGTTTCGAGATGCCCGATGGGCCTTCTCACCTTCGCATTCCTGAGGTCGCAGGGCATCCCGAAGCTCGGCGGGTGGTATCCGAAACGACGCTCGATAGTGATACCGAGACCACAGAGTTATCGACTTCATCCACCCGGGTGTACGATTCGGATGGAACAATCGAGGCGGATGGACCCGACTGGACGATTTGATTCGAAAATGGAGGTCGACGGATAGCCCAGTGGTTGTGGTCCGTCGCGACGGTGGTGCAAGCAGTCGATTCGGAGCCCGCGAGTGTCTAGCCTAGGTGGCGCGAAATGAGGTCGGGACGGTACACGACGGAAATGTTGTTTTGTTCCTATTTTCTTTTGGGTTTGGTTTCTTCATCACAACTCCGACCATGGCAGGCGATTGGGGTTATCTGGCTTGATATCACATCTCATTGGGGTTTTATCCGAACAGGTTTGCGACGGAATACACCGATAAAGCCCTAGTAGATATGTGCCTCGGCAGGCAGGCAATTTTAACGTATTTCCTTGACCTAACCATGCCGTCAGCGCAAGCATCCACGGGGTTATCTTGTCGCCTCTGTTGGCGCCTCCTTCGCGAACGTGTTCGCAACAATAAAGGGGAAGCACGAGGTCGCCTCGAGATACACCTGGTAAAACATCAGCAGGTGTGCGTGTCAGTAAAACACAGCACAGTGGGTGGCTATCCAGACACGCAACGACAAACCTTGACAGCATCAGCCCCGATCTTGATCTTGCCCCACGAGACGGCCTCGTCGGGCCTGGCGCCAGCATCACTCCCGTCAAACTCCTGGGCCGTGTTGATGTAGACGGCCGATTCCGCGCCGTTGCGCATCAGGCAGGCGTTGGCGATGTGGTGCTTGACTATGCCGCCGCCGAGGATGATGATACCCGCGCGCTTGGCCCGGACGGCGATGGTGTTGATGGCGCGGATGTCCTCGACGATGTCGATGCGGAGATGGCGCGGGGACGCCTTGAAGCTGTGGAAGTAGAGCATGTCGCCGAGGCTCCCGTCCGTCAGGGCCGGGCAGAAGACGGGGATGTTGTTCTTCCAGGCCCAGTAGTAGACGGAGCGCTCATCGTTAATCTCCTTGCCGAGGCGGTGGATGACCCTCGACGGCGTCCAGTTGATCTCGGCGTCATCGCCCTTGCCCTTGCTCTCCTCCTGCTCGTCCAACATCTTGTCCAGGATGGGCACCACCCAGTCCTCGAAGGCGCAGTAGTTGGAGTTAGGTACGACGAGGTTGCCGATCCGGTTCAGGCCCTTCTTTCGCAGGTCGGCGCCCGCGGCGCTGAATGACGACATGTAGGTGTCGCCCAGGCATTTGATGAAGTCCTCCTCGATGCCGCCAGCCGTAGTTACAATGCACGACACGTGCTTGTGCTGGACTAGATATCGGAATACGCCGCGCAGACCGGACGAGATGAGATTGGACGTGTAGCCCAGGAAGATGGTGGTTCCATCGCCAGTCTCTGGGTCGCGCCATGCTCTCTATCGACATGGTTGGGGGAGTGGCCACTTGGTCAGCTCAACTCAGCTCAACTCAGCGCAGCTCGATATCGTTATCATTGTAATATCTGCCGCTCGTTTGTGCTCTCGGCACACGGCAAAACCCAAAACTCCTCTCTATCAGCTGACCATTTCGTTTATGATGCGGACGGCCTCGCTCATGGAAGAGGCTTGAAATCCCATGTGTTTCATGCCTTCGAGCAGATCTTCGGCGGTGATGGGTCGGCCCTTGAACTTGTTGAAGTCCAGCTCCTCGACCTTTTGTGAGCCCTCCGGCATCTCGACCGACTGCACCAGGACGGCATCCTTGGCCTGCGTGGGAGGCTGCCCCTCCTGAGACATTATGGGCGACGGAGCAAGGAGCAGATGAGAAGATGATAGAAAAAATCCACACGGGAACACAGGATCTCTCTTCTTATTGAGTGGCAAAAAGCTTTTCGGGTCTCAAGATCTCATGCGGTTCGTTCTAGTGTCTCGATCCATGTGATGGATCCTCGTTTTGTCACAACTGGCAGGGGCTTGACGTCAAAAGGGACCAATCTCCGTTCTGGTGTCGCGACAGAATTTAGTTGCCACAACGGCCAAACGACTGGGGTACCCGGGCGGAAAATTCAGTGGCCAATGGCGTGCCTGGCCCGGCAATCATGATCCTTGGTAGGGACTCCAGGCCGTCGCATCCATCTTGAATCATGGCCTTTTTATTATTATTATTATTATTATTATTTTTTATTTTAACAATTTCTGCCCAGTCGTCACCCCCCCAAGTCAATAGCGAGGTGCTCGTAATGGATTGTCGACGCCCTCGCCAGTTTTGCTTTTTGCAGCCCTCGTGCTTATTTCTGAGTACGCACGTCCGAGCATGCACATCGGCAGCCTGTCAAGGATTTCGAGGATCGAGGACGGGGATCTCAGCAAAATGAAAAACCAGGGCAGCAGAATCGGGCAAAGCTTTTGCTTGGCCCCGACTGTGGCCGAATCGGATGTCGAGTACTGCCCGCCTAGTCGCCTCTGCCTTGACGCATCACAAAAAAAAGCTGGGGCGGCCCAGCCAGCACATCGAGGCGGAAAACCAGGGGTCGTTAGCGAGGCTGGGATTGGGCGGCAGCGCTGGTGGGGCGCTTGGGACAGGTGTTTTCCCGACAAGCGCGGCCTGTGTGGCCATTGAAGCTTGTTCCCAACGCGGCCTAGCGCCCTTCGGCAGGCCCTGTTGGGTGCTAGCGGCATGGGAGACGCCACGCGCACTGAGGCTGGTGCGGGCGCTGATTGGGCATGGTTTGTGCAGTTGTGTGCGTTCGTTCGTGCTTCTCCCAGCCCGGGCCTGTGGGTGTGGGTGCCATCGAACGGATGGATCTCGAACAAGCGGAGGCTCCAAAGCATTTTGATCTTCGACTCGCCATCAAACAGCCACGCCTTCCACACCCTATCGCGGCGACCCAGGCCATCCAGCATCATCGCCGCCGACGTCTCGACCGACACCGCGCTGCTGGCTTTTGGCACCCTGCACCACGATTTTTGATTTTTTTTTTTCTTCTCCACGAGGCTGGCGCGCCTCTTCGGGCAAACGGACATCGCGGACCGTTCGCCATAGCTGGCCAGCCTGCAAACTCTACCAGCCACGACGACTACATATCTATCCGCCAGCATCGGCAACGGACACCTCCATCGCCTATTATCGCTGGCTCTTCCTCATTGACCTGCGGCCGGTCCTGTCGTGGGCTTGTTCGTGCACATTCCCGGCAGATAATCTCTGTTTCCCCCCAAACCCTCGCTGGGGCTAGAAAGCATCTCGCGTCAACGTTCCACATCTTGCGCTGCCATCCCCACGTAACTCAAACCTTGAGATGCGGATGGTGCCTTCCGAAAGCAAGTCCAGTTAGGGCCCGCGCCCTTTCATGTAATGTGCGTATCTGCCCTTCTTCCGGGACCGGTCACTCTCTTGGAGCTCCGTTGAGAAAATGCCCGCGCCATCTTGGGATCCTTTCACAGGGCACCATCATCGCCACGCTGCCGCCCGCGGCGCGCCCAGATGGTCGGACATAGATACTCATGGGCATAACGAATACAGGTCTAGATACAGCCGAGGATACGATGGCGATCGCCGCTCTCGGTCCCCCCACAGGTCGCCTGATCGCTTTCCCAACCGCGCCTTGCAGTATGGCGACGGTGACCGCAGACGCCCCTCGGCAGACACGCGCGTCAACCAATCCGTCTTCCAGACGAACCGGGAGTTCCGTGATCCCCTGACCGGTGGGAGAGAGCCTCCGCGTGGCCCGAAAGCTCTCCTCGACTCCCCTGGCCCTCCGCGCGGCGGCTACTCGGACAACTTCCGTGGCAGGGGACCGCGAGGCCGTGGTGGTGGGAGGGCTTGGAGGGACGACAGCCGTGATCGCGCCCGAGACCGTGATGACTACCGCAACGAACGCAGAGACGCGCCGTTCAGGGACGAAAGAGGCGAGCGGACCGAGAGGAGCAGGGAGCGGGAGCGCGACTGGCGAGACCAGCGCGACAGCTTTCGTGGAAGGCGTCCGTCTCCCCAAGGTAGGGGACGTTCTCCTCCCGGGAGAGATCCTGGGAGAGACCGCGACTTTCGCGACCGAGACCGGGAGCGAGATGGTCCGCTTGGTGTCGATGCCGAGCGTGCAAGGCGCGGCTCGAGGGACGGGCCATTGTCGGCGGGATCTTCAAACTCGGACCAGCCCTTTGGGGCCCAATCCTACCGTGGCGGCGGCTTCAGGGGTGGCCGTGGTCGCGGTCGCGGTGGTGGGGGAGACTGGCAGGACCGTGGACGGAGACCTGGCTTCTTCGACGATCGCGACCGTTACCGCAGTCGCTCTCAGGATGGGCGATGGGGCATCCGCGACGGCCGGGATGACCGTATCGAAAACCCGCGATTTGCGGACGATCCTCGTGCGCCAAGAGACCTGCGCGACGACCGCGATTCTCGTGACCGTGAACTGATTAGACCCAAGACCGACCGTGCCTCCCTTACTCACGAACTGCCAACCTTGACAAAGGAAGTTTCGCCGCCTCCGATCGCCCCTTCTGCCCCGGCGTTTGGTTCGGTTGTCCCCAGCCGAGCAACCCCGGCTGCCCTGGATATACAGACCCCGACCGGAAAGGCGCCACCGACAGGCCCGCGGGCGCTTACAGAGGAACGTCCTATGTCTGCTGGGCATCAAGGCGGGGGAGGCGGGAGCGGAGGGGGCGACCGGTTCCCATCCACTGGAGCATCTAAGGCCTCTAGCCATGACGGTAGTCCTCCGATTCCGACGGGCCCGCGTGCTCAACATCAGAAGCAACAGCAGCAGCAGCAGCAGCAGCAGCAGCAGCAACAGCAGCAGCAGCCACAACAACAGCCACAACAACAACAACAGCAGCAGCAGCAGCAGCAGCAGCAACAACAAAGACCTTCGAGCAAGCAATGGATAAATCCGGCGTTGGCTGGCAAGAAAATCCCCGAGTCGCCCAAGGTCAACAGGTCACAGAGCTTTGCTTCACAACATCCGAGACCTTTCGGTCCTCGTCCGGCATCCTCGGGCTCCGAGAATCATGTCGATTTTGGCAACCGCCCGCGAAGCCGCGACGCGCAATCCGACTCTCACATGTCCAGCGGAGAGGCCCACCTGCGCTCTCTTCACCAAATGATCGAGGATGGGGAGATTGTCCAAGACGACCACGCGCACGGGACGCTGTCCGCGCGGACTTCGGTCGACCGTGAGATGAGACCTCCCTGGTCTGCATCCGACAGCCACATGTCCGGCATGGGATACGAGCGGCCTGCCAGTGTCATGGGAACGTCACCGACCTACCAACGCCCGCCCACGCTGAGCCCAACCCAATCTAGGAGCGGCAAGGACGGACCCCATCCGAGATCAGAACCCACCCCAACTGCCAGCACGCCCAAACGACGAAAACCGACACTGAGATTTGCCCCCGTTAAGGTGTCGGTTCCGCCGCCGCCGCCCCCTCCTCCTCAAGACCAATCCTCTGAGTCTGACGACGAGGACATGAACGACTACTTTCAGAAGGAGATCCAGAAGAATGAGGCTGAACTTAAAAGGCTGGAGAGCGAATCGGCCGACTTGCCGACGAAGAATGTGTTCACTTACGCGTACCTCGTGCAGATGGCTGCTCTTGCCTTTGTCGACGAGACAGAGGGCCTGATGGACATGCTTGGAAAGATACCCGAGGGCGTCAGGATCCCACGAAAGTCGTCCCAGTCGTCTGCGGCCAAGCCGGCCGTCATCCAACAAAAGCCACTGCATGGCCCGAAAGAACCCCCCCACAAGGAGCCTACCAGCGCTGCCGCTGCGAACATTCAATCTGTTAAGAGCGTCGACCGCGATGCCAAAGCCATTTCCAAGGAGCCCAAGGTCATGGACAAGGATATAAAGGGTGCTGGCAAGGAGGCCAAGGCCCCAGAGGTGGATCATAAGGCGCTCACGAAGGAGATGAGGCCTATGGAGAAGGCTGACAAGGTGACTCCTGAAGAGTCTAAGGAGACCAAGGCCGCCGAAAAGGACGCCAAGGCTGTCAAGGAAGCCAATGCGACCGAAAAAGACATCAAGGCGACAGACAAGGACGCCAAAGCCGCAGTCGTTCCAGCATCTCTGGCACCTCCTACTCTCAGGGCGGCCGTAAGCGGACCTCATACCGCTCCTGTCCCCATTCCCGAGGCTGCTGCACCCGTGCCTGCGCCAACAGACGATGTGGTTATGACAGACAAACCCATGGACGATGCACCCTCTGCTAGCGGACCTACTACCGAGATAGCGGCTGCCACCGTACCGGTGGAGCCCCAGCCCAAGGTGGAAGATGTCGAGATGGAGGACGCCCACGTTCCCATTCCAACTGTTGAGCAGGAGGATCCCAGGCCCGAAAGCGCCGATGTCGAGATGCAAGGCACAGCCGAAACTTCGGAGGTAGCCCCTGGGCAGGAGGAAGACGAGGCACCAAAAGCCAACGGCGTGGTTGCCAGTGGTGAAATGCCCGAGCCGACCCTCAACCAGGAAGTGGTGTCGCAAAAGGTCTCTCCAGGAAGGACGGAAGACGATGATGACGCTACTGAGATTGAAGAGCCAGACTGTGCGGCCATGGAGACGGTGCGGCAGTACATGGTCACTCCACCTCTGGACAGCGTCCCGGTATTCGATGTTGCTGCCTGGCACGAGGACAAGGTGTTCCTCAAGTCCATGGAACCCCAAGCGGGAATGGCAACGTTTGTGCTTGACAAGCTCAAGCGGGAGACGAGTGCGCGAGCCGAGGAGTATGCGGCTATTCAGCGCGACTACCGCGAAAAGTACAACCTCTACCTCCGCTTCACGCTCTCGGATGACCCCAGCGCGATCAGGAGTCGTGACAAGTTTGCCGTGTCTACGGGCTTCTCCGAGGCTGTGACGGCACCGCCGCAACCCCCTCAAGAGCCCAAGGCGGAGGGACGGGGCCGCAGGTTCGCCACGGAAAGAGACCTTGAGCGTATCCTGCAGGCTTCCAAAGCCGAGGAGGAGCAGCGGCGCGAGCGCGAGCTACGGGCGGAGAAGGAGATGTGCCGCAGCGAAAAGGAGGCAGTGATCCCAGACATGTACTGGGACGACGAGGATCGCAAAAAGCAGCTGTTCATGGACAGAGCTGGCTATCTCCCCGTGGAGAAGCTGGTGGCAGCCTGGCAAGTGTTGCCGCCCGTATGCAACTTCACGCCCGAGGAGGAGGTGTTCTTCGAGAAGGCATACCTCGAGTGTCCCAAGCAGTGGGGTAAGATTGCGGAGCAGATCCCGAAGCGCACCTTTGGATCATGTATCCAATACTACTATCTCAAGAAGAGGGACCTGCACCTCAAAGAGAAGCTCAAGAAGCAACCTAAGAAGCGCAAGAAGGGGCGCGGCAAGGCCCGGTCGAGCGCTCTGGTCTCGGAGCTTGGCAACGGCGATCACGAGACGGAGGAGAACCACGAGAATGGCGAGAACAACGAACGCCGCCGACCTAGACGCGCCGCGGCGCCGACCTTCAGCTTTGAAGCAGCGGCCACGCCCAACAATGCGGACTCTGATGGCGCAACTCCCAGCGGAACCCCTGGGCGACGGACGGGTGGCAACAAGGGTGACAGCGGGGCCGAAAAGCCCGAGAGTAAGAAGGGGGGCAGGAAGCGGCAGCCTAAGGAGAAGAAGGCCGAGACGCCCAAGATCACTCCCATCATCGCCCCGACGCCGCCCACGGCCAAACCGAACCGGTCGAGATCGAACTCGCGAGTCCAAGGCCCGCCAGGGCCCGAGTGGAACTCGCCACAGACCCCTGGCGGGCCTGGGATGGCGCCCAGCATGGGCCCAGCCCCTCCATCCTCGTTCGAGCCGCAGACTCCGGGCATGCAGCCGCAGCCGCTGGTACCGGCCACGGCTCTGCGCAGCCCAGAGAGGCCGCCCTCGCTGGCCCCGCCCGCCATAATGACCGAGATCATGGCGCCGCCCTCACTGAGGCCAGAGCCACCGCTGTCGGCGCCGCCCCAGGTTGGCGTGACCGCATTCGAGATGGGGCTCACGTCTGGCTCGCCGTCGGAGCGTGGCCGCGCGCAGGGCCAAGCCACAAGCTACTGGAGCGTGTCGGAGGCTAATGACTTCCCGGCGCTGCTGCGGTCGTTTGGCACCGACTGGAATGCTATTGCCCTCCACATGCACACCAAGACATCGGTAATGGTAGGTTGCGGAGCAAGGCCCAAGTCAGTTCCTACCCCTGATCCCATGACTAACCACGAGCACTCTCGGCAACCACAGGTCAAGAACTACTACCAACGGCAGAAGGAGGGCACGAAACCCGAGTGGGAAGGCATTGCTACCGAAGCGGATCTGCGAAAACAGCGCGGTCAGAAGCGGCCTCCCCCGCCGACGCCGACGACCGGGGCCCGCACCAAGAAATGGGAGTCGCCGTCCTCGACGTCACACCGACCGCTCGCTGCGGCAGACACGGCTGACGACACTGTGCAACCCAAGGTGGAGAAGCATGGTCTTACTGTCGGACCACCGGTTGGTCCGCAGCCGCAGCAGCAGCCGCAGCCTGCCTCAGCAACACCCGTCCAGCAGCCTTTTAGACCGTTCCCAGTGCCGCTCGCAATGGCACCCCAGTCGACCACACCGGTGCCCCTCCCACACAGCGTGCCCATCTCTGTCCCTGGTCCGGCGCCCGTCCCTACTGCCGCGATGCAGTCACCTCTCCCCCAAGCACCGCCACAGGGGCATGCCCCGGCCCCTCAGCCAACACCCGTCATGGTTTCGCAGCGAATGCAGATACAACAGCCGCCGCAACCCCCACCGCAGCAACCGCCCCAGCAGCAACAGGGACCACCGCAGGCACCACAGCAGGTTCAGCACCAGCAGCAACCGCAGCAGCCAATCTCACCGGCTGTTCTCTCGCCTGCAATGTCTCCCGCCATCTCCCAGTCCATGTCGCAGTCGATCTCGCAAACGGCTTCGCCAAGGATGCGGACGCCCCGTGTCCCGTTTACTCCCTTCCCCAGCGAGCCGGAGCCGGAGCGGGAGAGGGAGCCCATGCCGGCCCTAGTGCCACAGCCGCAGCCGCAGCCAATCCGCATCACGCAAAAGCCCGCGCCTTCCTCGCAGCACTCCCCCTTGTCCGCAGGCGGTGTTGGTCCCAGCTCCGGCTTGGGGCTTGGAGGTCCGCTTGGGGACATGCATCGGAGCCAGCGGCCTGGGCCCGGCTGGGCAAATCCCGAGGTGGACGAGAAGATTGCGCAGCTTGCTCAGAGGCGTAGCAACCAGCGCAGCGACATGCAGCAGCAACAGCAACAGCAGCAACAGCAGCAACATCAAATGCAGCAGATGCAGCAGCAGTTGGCGCAACAACAACAGCAGCTGCAGCAACACGCAAGGGAAGAGGCAAGACAGATCGCACGTTCGCATTCTGCGGTGGCGCAGGTACAAAGCCCGACTGCGCGACTGAAGCAAGAGCCCGATGTGCCGAGTTCGTACGATGCCTACCAGCCCGTTCTCCCCCATGGCCCTCCACCGCCTCGCGGGGCCCCGCTGCGCAACGAGCCCGGATCGATAGGCAGGCCGTCGGACCCGGCACCACAGACTCGCCCTACCGGCTCTGCGCCTCCTGCGTTTGCGGTGCAGCCCCAACCACCACAGCCGCAGCCTCAGTCCGCGCCGCAGCAACAGCAGCCGCCCCATCCTCCACAGCCTCCATCCCACCGGGGCCCCTTCGGCGAGCCCATGCAGCCCGCGCCTCCGCACGGTGTCGGAATGGGAGAGCGACCTGTTCAGCAGCCGCATGGCATGGCAGCTCCCGTCAAGTTTGAGCCACAGCCGTCCCGGTCTGCGACCCCCCAGCAACCGTCCGCGCCCATGGCGGCTCCTCCCGCAGCGGCGCCACGCCCTGCTCCGGAGCGCAAGACATCAAGCCTCATGGCTCTCCTCAACGACGACCCGCCCCCGCCGCCTCCTCCGGCCGCTGTTCCCCCTCCTAGTCGCCCCGCGGAAGCGCCAGCCCCCAGTTCCAAGTCGTCTTCAGCTGCGGCAACCTCGTCCGCGAGAACTGCGCCCACACCTCCTCCGGCGCCGCTGCGGCAGTCGTCCAAGCCCATATTCTCGCAGTACCTCCGCAACACGCCCACAACATCGACATCGGTCATGCCTTCGCTCAAGCCTTACAACTCTACTCACACGCAGTCCCCACAGCCACAGCACATGAGCGCACCCAGGCAGCCCATAGGCGCCCCTATAGACCCGTCAGCCGAGAGCGACTACTACGGACAACAACGCCCACAGTACCCGCCGCAACAGCAGCATCAATCCCCTGCAGCAAACTCTCCCCAGACTCACCACTACGGACCTCCTCAGCCGAGCCAGCAGCACCCGATGGGCTACCAGAACCAGCCGCCGCCATCATACCCCCCATATGGTGCCCCGATACCTCAGTCCCACTCAGGCTCCCCAACGATGCAGTACGCGCACCAGCCGACTCCTACCAGGCGTGACCAAGGCCCGCCGCAGCCACCGCCTCCTAGAGATGCGGTCTGGCCGCCTGACAACCGACCAATACCGACGTCGCAGCCGCAACAGCAGGGCTGGGCCCCCGGCCATGGGATGCAACAAGTTGCCCCCAAGCCAGGGCAACCACAACCCCAATCTGCCTGGGCCGCTCAGCACGGCGGGCCGCCAAAACCGCCCCCATCGACCAATCCCCAGCAGCCGGCGTGGGCGACGGCAGGACAGCAGCCCCAGCAACAGCAGGCGCCGCCTCCCCATCACATGGCCATGCGTGACGATCGCGCGAGCGCCCCTTATGGTGTCAATGATAGAGATCCGCGTGATTTCAGGGACCCGAGGGACCCTAGGGACATGAGAGACCCAAGGGACCTGAGGGACCCCAGAGACCTTCGAGATCCCCGCGATCCCCGTGATCCTAGAGATATCAGGGACCCTCGTGATCCTGGGGGTTTGAGGGATTTCAGGGATCCGAGGGATCTCAGGGACCCTAGAGATCTTCGGGGAGATCCTAGAGGCGACCCCAGAGGAGACCCTAGGGGAGATCCCAGGGACCCGCGCGATCCGCGGAACAACCCGCCACCGGGCGGCCCGGGAATGGTACAACATCAGCACGCGCCACCGTCACACCAGCAACACCAGTACCAGCACCAGCCACCGCCACCTCAGCACCAGCAGCATCCTCAGCACCAGGTGCAGCAGCACCCGCATCAGCAGCACCAACAGCAGCAGCCGCACCATCACCACCAGCATTCGCATTCGCACTCGCTCAGCGGTCATCAGTATCCGCCGCCGCCGCCTCCACGCGGCGGCGACCCGGGCCCGCCACCGCAACCAGGCGGATACACCCGCTACAGTGCCACGCCGGGCCCTCCCCCGATATCGAGGGAGCAGGTGCCGCCGCCGAGGAGCTACACGCCGGTTGCGTTCGAGGATAGGAGGCACGGGCCGCCACAGCAGTACGGTCACCCGCAGCAACAGCAGCCGCCGCCTCAGCAACAGCAGCGACCCATGGATCCCCTTAGAGACATGCAAATGCGCGACATGGGAGGCCCGCCTGGGCCTGGCGGCATGCATCGTGATCCCAGGGATGCGGCCGCCCAGCAGCACATGCAGCAGCAGCAGCAGCAGCAGCAGCAGCAGCAGCAGCAGCAGCAGCAGCAGCAATCGCTCCTGCAAAGGCAACAGCAGCTGAGGCCTCACGATGACTATAGGCGTGACTACCGATAAGCTAGCATTTCATCCGCATGGGTCTTTTCTGCTTTCCTTTCTTCAGCTCGGCTTTGGCTTCCTTTTTTCTACATCTTGGTCTTGGTACTTTTCGTTTAGTGTATTTTTTGTCCACTTTGGGGTGGAAGCATTGCCTTTCTTGGTGAGTGGCTTATCGGTTTTGTCTTTGTGCGACTCGTTCTGTTCGCCCTGTGGGAATTTGGCATCGCGGGGGTACGTCTTCTTACTGGAGCACATGCATCATCTTTTATTCCCAGTCCATTTTCAGCCTTCGTATTCTTTCGCGTTCGAGTGCTAAAGCGATATAGTTGCGGAGACAAAAGAAACATTGCAAAGATTCACTGCGCGTCCTCTTCGTGATCAAAATATGTTGGTAACTGCAAGAATACACCCGTCATCGTATCTTGTACCGTTCTTCCGTCAACATAAACACGCGCGGCCTGACCGCTTTACAAGGCAGTTGAGACGTTTGTTTTCCTGCTGTTACCTGGGCGTTGTTCGTTGAGGAACCCCCAGCCAGATCCCGGATCGTTGGTTCTTCCCCACCCTTCTAACACAACCGTAGATATGTACCCGCGCCAGACTCCATTCAGGGGGAGGGAGACGTCACGCCTGGTTGCCCTCCCAATCCTTTGCAAACCAGAATCGAGCCTCATTCAGTCGTGGCACGTTGTAGCCGTCAGGCTCAAACTTCTTTCTCCACTGTTCGGCCGGAAATAGCAAAAAAAAAAAAAAAAAAGGGAACACACCCCTTTCCGCGTGGCTACCCCGCAGGCCTCCGCATCTCCCGCCACCGCCGCACCTTGGCTTGCACCTTGTGCATCCTCGGGGTGTAGTGCCCGCGCAGCCACGCCGCGACGACCCCCCTGCTGCGGCCGTGGTCGCTGCCGCGCGAGACGCCGCTCACCGTCCGTATGAGCACGGTCCACGTCGACGCCCTCCTCGGCGCGCCAGCAGCAGCCGGTGCCGCCTCGAAGCTGACCGACGCCGTCGTCGCCCCGCCGGTGTGGTGGTCGGTTCGTCTCCGGCTGACGTTTTTGAGGGACTCGTACGAGCTGGTCCACGTCGTGCTGAAACGGCGCATCGGCGGCAGCTCCATCGTTGACGTCGTCGACCTGGCCCACGTGGCGAGGCGGACGGCGCTGATTCTCCTGCGAGGGTAGAAGACAATGTTACAGTGCGCCCTTTTGGAAGTGGCTCTGTCCCCCCCAGCCCCGGCGGCGAGTGTGTATGCGCCGTCGTTTGGGCGGGGCTTTTCCCTGTGCTGGGTCAGTCTCTGCTCACGGTTGTGCAGTCTTGTGCGCCCCCGCGCTGCCGAAGATGAGCGGCCGCGGCGGCGCGGTGGCGTTGAGAGGGAGCAGGTACGCATCGCCCATGGCCCCCGGAGACGCCTTGCGCGCAATCTCGCCCAGGGCGGTGTGAAGTTGCTTCGCATCCCACCGCTGCTTCACATCCACGACCAAAAGGCCACGCTCGATGAGGTCGATGAGGTCGCGTAGGGCCGTCCCCGCCGCGCCGCGTGGATCGTCCCGCACCGCCTCTATGGCACTCGCCACTTCGGGGTGGACTATGGCAGTCTTGGGCTTGTTCCTGCCACCATCGGCGAGGTAGAAGGCGAACGCAGGGTAGTGACGGGAGTCCTCGAAGGTGGCCAGGGCGTCGATGTCCCAGAGCAGCCAGATTATGTGCTCTAGGATGATACAGCCCATGGACCAGACGTCATACTTCCTAGAGCGCGGGCTATCGCTCTCCGTCCAGACCTCGGGGGCCTCGTAGGCGAGCGTGGTTGCTTTCATCTTTGTCGCTTGCCTGCCGAAGTGGCCGGTGGGGTGCATGTGGCGGCTGGAGATTCCGAGGTCGGCGATGACAAAGTTGTCAAGATGTCGGGAGGGGTCCGTGAAATGGAGGATGTTGTCGGGCTTGAGGTCGCCGTGCCGGAAGTTGATGAAATGGAGGAACTGGAGAGCGTCGGAGAGCTGGAGGAGCTGGTCTATGGACTTGCGGATAAGGGCCTGGTCTCGCACAGCATTCTTGTTCCAGTAGTGCTGCAAAGTACTACCCTCGGCCCAGGGCAGGATAATATAGTACGTATTAGATTTCTCGTAGCTGCTCAGGAATCTGATCAAGTTCGGGTGGTTCGCTTCGCGCGCGGCTCGTAGTGCATCGATTTCCCGCTTGAAGTCTTCCGGGTTGGTGAATCTCTTCACGGCTACCCGTCGTCCAGAGTTCTGCTCCTGTTGAACTAGAGTATCAGCCATACTTCCAATCTTCACGGGACCGATACCTCGACACATTTCTAGACAAGAGACCAGGCGCGCCCGCCCGCCGAGAGGGGCCGTACCTCAGTATCCGCATCACTACCACTGCCAGCGGCATCACCGCCACTATCCTGTAGCGGCTGTGGCGAGTTGTCGACATTACGGAAGCAATCCTTGTGGATGATGCACTCAAAAACTGCCCTTGCAGCCGTCCCCAGCGACTCGGGAGTGCCCAAAAACGGCAACGCGCATGTTAATTCAAGCTGGTGATGCTTGCCACTGTCGTCCAGGATGTGAGGCTGGACCACCCATTGAGAATCCAGAAAGGCCTGGACATTGCGGCGGTTGGCTTTCCAAGGGCTCCCAAACGGCCGGAAGCACTTTCCGCTACCTGAGATCAAGCAATCTTTCTCAAGTCGGAGAGGCAAGTCTGCATCTCGAATTCCGCACCCGAGGATGCTGCGGGCGAGGTCGATTCGGTCGGCATGATGAAGAATTATAAAGATCTTCCGAGCGGATGTTACGATGATCTCCACTAGTTCTTCGGGCACGCCTTCCTTTGTGATGTGTGGCTCCTGGGCGTACTTGTCCACTGCGCTTTGTGGATAATAATCGCCGCCGCCAAGGTCCGAATGGCAAGAGATCTTGCTTTCCTTCAGCACCTCGAATAGGGAGATTGGTGTCGTGGTCATCCTGATGCTTGGGCGGCTCTAGCACAACAACGGCTGCGGGTTGATCTGGAAGGAATGGAGAAGGAGTTCTGGAGTCGGACAAATAGCCCCGCGGGGTTGACTGTGCGGATAAGGACCACTGAATGACAAGAGGTTCCTCGCGGCGGCCCATTTGTCCAAGGAATGGGCCGCAGGCCGCCAACAAGGCGCCCATTACGCCAACAAGGCGCCCGTCACGCCAAGGCAGTATGGCAAGGCTGGCTGTGCTTTGTTGCCTAGTTATGCCGTATCCGTGGTCAGCCATCCCATGGCGTCCTATCTCCCCGCACGAGGGCGGTCAGGCAGCCAACCAGAAAGCAGCTGGCGCGCTACCGGGTGGTGGTGTGGTGTGCATGGGGGTGGCCATCAATGGTCACTGACCGGGCGGGAAAGGGTGTATGTTCACGGTGAGGGTGTGATGATCTCGACGCTCATAGGCCGGATAGATGACAGCTGGAATTCGCCGTGTGAAGGATGTGTGTTAGCCGAGGGCGCAGCGAGCACTTTCCCTCAGTTCAGTGGGTGCTGCTTTGGGCCGGCACTCCGGTACCACCGCGCCTGTCATGTTGGGATACCGCCGTCGCTTATTTTTGGTTACTTCGGTTTTGGCACACGCTTCCAGGTGCGCCCGCTCGCTGTATGGGATGGCATCCTTGGGCGCTCCCGTTCGCTCTTTGGCGTTGTGGCCATCTCACTAGGTAGCCAGCTCCCGGCTGATGTTGCTCTCTCGTGTTGGGAATGGCGAGGCTCATAGTAGCGCTGGGTGGAGCGATTTGCAGTTGCTCGGGTTTCGCAAGACCCCTTCCAACAACAACCGTCGGGCTTTTGAGCCTGAACAGCCATCCGCGTGTTTTAGCGGCTGGGACTAGGGCTAGGTAGGCTGCGCTGTTCTTCTTGTCTTCTCGTCATTCGGAGCTGGAGTCGGTCTTTCCCCAGAAAGGGGCTGCAAGGGGAGTCATCCGTTGATCCGATGTCGTACAAGATAGTTGTGCTAGGTAGGTACAGGTACCACCTGTCCACTTCGGGTAGGCAGGTGGCAGGTGTACCTACCTACCTACCCTAAGTATCACCGACCGAGGTACTCAGGCAGGCACCACCCATTGGATTCCGCGCCACTCACCCGCGTTCCGGACTGCAGAAGCCGGTTTTTGCGACGAGAGAAAAACCGGCCGTCGTCCAAGCCCATCTCATCCCCTTTCTCTCATCCCCTTTCGTGTTTGTCGCTGGCCATCCAATCATACATCCAACACGGCACCCCATCACCGCTGATATGTGCCGCGAGGGTGCTTGGCAACCATAGGGCCCCCTTGGACGGTTTCCCCGCAATGCTCTTCTGTGGATGAAAGAGGCAGGGCACTAGACTGCAAATGCGCCGCACGAGAAGCTGACGAGGTATTTCTCCACGCACCCAGAGGAGCGGCAAAGTCGTGCTTTTGCCAGAGCAGACTGTATGTGTGCTTTGGCTTGCTGGAGATGTCTGGAAAAGATGAGGCATCGCCCAGTCAGCGACAATAACATCGACGGCTGTCAAGCACCAGGAATATGGACGCACCTCCCCCGGTTGCGCCGTGGACGATTTGAGCTGGCTTGCTCGTAACGGATCCGACGTCGCCATGGGAGTAAGATACTAGAGACACCCGTCGGCGGCGATGGGCTTGCGGCACAACACAGGGTCCGCGACTCTTATCAAGATATATGATTATAAAGCCACTGTTGTTCAAGTCGTCCTGCCAAGTTCCATCAGAGAAGAAGGGCCTCCTGCGCCTCTCTGTAGCGCACCTGATTCTGTCTTCCTCGCGGTGCCTACTGTGATGAGAAGTATTCGGGGTGGCCAGTCGCCTAGCATGCTTCGATGGCGGCCAAGTGGTAGTCATCTGCAGCCGAAGACGACGTAAAGGACAACGGCGGACTGCGAACAAGACATATCGAGGAGAGAATCGAGAAAATTCCGCAACGCATGAGAACGCCTTAGACTTGCCACGGCCAGCGCCTTGCATCCATTAAGACGATTACCAAAACCGCATAGTTCCAAAACGAGGCTGCAGGGGGGCCGGTAGCCGATGTCGGGCAACAAATGAGCAAACCCAGTCAGTCCGAGGTGGTCGCATGGTGCGGTGTGTGCATGGGGCTAGCAACCTGCATATCTTCAGCGAATGAGACGGCACCACGTCATCGGCTTACCTGCAATGGCCTGCCGTGCAACCCCAGAGCCCGACCCTATCGGGGTGAAAGCGGGGGAGAAGCTTGAGCTGCCATACCTTTACTCTTAGGCTGACACTTTCTCCGGTCGTCCCAAACCGAACCGCCTCCGCCCCCTCTTCGGAGTAGCTTCTTTTGAGAGCAGGCAGCCTATTTTGAGGGCAGGCAGCCTATAAGGGTGTCATGGTATGGTGTTGGTTCCTTCGCCGGCGGCCTCTGGCCAAGGCGCCCGGGTCGCGCGGCCTCGGACGATCACCAACCGACCAGGACACAATGCCTATATACCCCGATTCGGAACGCGTTGTGGATTCAGATGGCGCCCCCGATGCCGAGTCGATCCAAGTGCCAGACATCAGAATCGAGCCTCCCCCGAGCGACACTGGGCGGGCTGCATCGAGTTCCATTTCAGCCACCATTCTGCCTCCCCTTCCAACCACGCCGCTAGCCTCGAAGAAAGTCAGTCCCCACAAAGCAAGACAATCCGAGGAAATTAGCGCACCCGCCGAATCCAAAGAACTATCGCCGCCCGCATCATCCATGACCACGTCGCCAGATTTTTTATATAAAGAGATCAAGGCCCTCAAGACGCGCCCGGACGGAAGAGATGGCGGATTCGTCCCGGACCACAGCCTGAAAGACCTGTTTCGGAAACTGGGTGCACATTTGAGGAACTTGGAAACTTTGCGTGGCACGCATCACATCGATGAGATTATCCCCTTTATCTGCAACCAGGCGCCCAAGGCCTTTGCAACGCTCGTGTTTTCAGGACATGTGCACCTCATTGTCTGCCTGTTTGACAATGGGATCGATGACACGTTGCTGCCGGTGACGACAAACACTGCCGGAGACCTGCGCTCGTTCCCGGCCGAGGCGAGAGTGGAACTGGCCGAGATGGCTGTCATGCTCGCGAACGAAGAGGTTTCGAGAATCAAAGACGTGGACATCAAAACAATAAAAATGAAGGAGGATGCCCGCGCCCAGGCTATCGCGGCCTCCGAGCTCGCGGCCTCGGCCAGGGAAGACGCCATCGTTGCCGCCGATAAGATTGCCGCCGCCTTCGAACGCTGGCCTCCCATGACGCTCGACCACTTTCACGAAATACACCAGTGGCCCTTCTTCGCACCCGTTTTCGACGGAGCTCAGTTCTACAACATGTTCGCCGAAAAGGCCAGGATGCCCTTCTGGCCGACCGACCAAAGTGTCAAACACGGCCCCTTTAGCTCGGTAGAGAAGTGGCAGGTCCCCCGTGTGCACCTCCCACGCGACATGGTGAGTTTGCCTTCCAAGGTGTACAAGTTTACCTACGGCAACGCGCGTTGCTTGATGGGCGTATACTCGCTCACCTTGAATGATATAACTAGGTGCTGCCCAGCGACAATAGTGTGCACCCCTATGTGGCAGTCAAGGTACTGAAGCGCGACCAGTTCACAAGCCCGGGAGACTTTGAGCAGGCTGTTCGGCTCGAGGCCAAGGTACTCAATGTGATGAGCTCGCTAAAACACCGCCACCTCATCAGGACGATTGCCTGTTACCGCAAGGGTCCAGTCGAGTGCTTCGTGTTCCCCTGGGCGGACCATGGTAATCTCCGCGACTACTGGAAGGATAGCAAGCTAGTGGCTAACCAGAGGCTGGCGGCCGACTACCTGTGGTGGGTCTTCCTCCAGCTGCGCGGCCTTGCCGAAGCCATTACGCAGCTGCACGGCAGGATCATCCGGCACGGCGACTTGAAGCCTGAGAACATTCTCTGCTTCCGCAACAACGCCAAAAACCAGCCCGATGACATCTGCAGGCTGGTCATCGCCGACGCGGGGCTCGCCAAGGTCAACTACCAGATCACGCAGCTGCGCACCAAGGCGAGCCTCGGGCCCAAGGGCGGCACGCTGATGTACGAGCCGCCCGAGGCCGAGGTTGGGAGTGGAGCGCCCGTGTCGCGCCGCTACGACGTCTGGTCCATGGGCTGCATATGCCTCGAGTTCCTCATCTGGCTTATCAGTGGTAATGAGGGCCTAACACAGCTCGTGGAGGACTTGAATCAGGTCGGCAGATTCTACGAGCCGCACTGGTCCAAAAGCGAAAGGCGCACCACGGGCGCTGGGCGCCAGAAAGAAGTCGACAACAGAATCCAATGGCTGCGCGAACATCCCCTCTGCAAGGGAGAGAAAAATCCGCTCGGCCGTCTAGTCGAGCTCATCGACAAGAAGTTGTTGGTCCACAGCCTCGGCAAACCCATTTCTCTCCCGCATCTCTCCCCATCCACCCTCCAGCTCAACGGCGACTTCACTCCTGACGGCTACACAACCTTCGCACCCCCCAGACGCAGGGAGACGGGCGGCTTGGATGTCTTCGAATTGCCCCCGGGTAGCCGCGTCAAAAGCGATACGATGCTCGCCGAGTTCGATGCAATCCTTACCGACAAGGCCTCGTTCCGGCTGCCCAGTGCTACCATGAACAGCTCAGCGGCATCATCGCTTGTGCACCTACCACTTCGGAACACCGCGCGCGGGAGCCATCTCGAAGTGCCCGGCGCCAACAGAGCTGCGGCTTCCAGGCCGTCTGCTGGGGTACGCAAACGTTCTCCTTCGTAGGAAGCGTCGGGCAAGGTCATGTGGATCGCCAAGAGCCCGCGTGCTAAAGAAACCTTGAGGCGTCAGGTATAAAAGCAGCCCTTGACTGGATGCTAACTATTGTCTCTCCGTCCGGTTAGGATGTAAGAATTCCCTTTGCGCCATGCGAGCCTCGAGTCTTCCTGCCTTGACTAACGCTCTCCCTCCCGTAGTATGTAAGCTGGCTCCATGGACACATCAAGTCCCCTTAGCGGGTGCGTTGGCGAGAAAATTGCCCGCTAACACGGCTGGCCTTTTCCTTCTTGTTAGAGAGTATGTTTAGTCGTCCGCCACCTGAGCATCTAGCCCGATTAGAAAATGTTGGAGAGCTGACACCAGACCCTGTGGCAACCATTAGTTTGTGAGTCGAGGCAATCCAAGCCGCCCAATCTGACCGACCCATCGAAATGCTATCAGCGGAGGGGAACTAACAGCGGCATCACCCTTCTAGGCGGTATGTTGGACACCCTTGGCCGCTCTCAAACAGGGCCCACTGTCCGGGTTTATTAATATGAGCTGCCCGGATGGTGGTCTCCACGTAGCCAGTATGGCTCTGCATAGTCCAATGTTCTCATGTTGACCGCCCTTTCTGCAGCTAGACGACAGTTGGAAATATGCCGCGGATATCGATTTCCCCGTCAGCGAGATCGCTTGGGCCGCCGAGATGAACCCCGGTACAACCATCTCGGGCCTTTGCGACCGCTGTGACGGCCTTCGGCTTTGGGCACTGACCTGCAGCTTCTCGGACACACTGAACGGCCTGGCCGAAAAGGCGCCAACATGTGCGCTGTGCCGGCTATTGCTCCAGCACCTCAGCCTTCGTCTTTATGAAAAAGACAAAAGATTTTATTTCTTCAGAGCCATGTCGTATATTACCTGCGCCATGGAGCGAGGACAGCCGCTTGTGTCCCTCTTCACGTTTCCAGGTGCGTGTCTTTCCCTGTAGCCCAGTGTACCCCATCGCCCCAAGGTCGGCCTTGCGCCCGTTAACTTAACCTTTCAGGGGCGCCGTCTCTCGCTCATCATGAAATCCACGCCGGCCTTCCCATACTCCCCCAGGCTGGAAGCTCGACGCACCTACAGGTTCTGTCCAGGTGGATATCTTGCTGTGACAAGTCTCATCAGTGCTTTCCCCCCCAAGACATAGAGTTTGTCCCGACGCGTCTTCTAGATGTTGGGAGTGAAGGATCTCCATGGATTCGGCTCATTGAGAAGCTGTCCGGGGACGACAAACCATGTCGCTACATTGCTCTTTCGCACAGATGGGGGTCGCCGGAGCTACACCGAGCACTTACCACCACTACCGCCAGCGTGACACAGTTCAGGCAGGGCATTCGCGTAGCGGAACTTCCACAGACCTTCCGCGACGCCGTGCAGGTGACGCGCGGCCTAGGCGTGCGCTACCTCTGGATCGACTCTCTATGCATTATCCAGGATGACCCGCAAGACTGGGGGGCCGAATCCAAGCTGATGGAGCAGGTCTTCAGCTCGGCATATGTGACCATCTCGGCGAGCTGCTCCAGCGGCACCAACGACGGCTTCCTGAAACCGCGTCCCGACCGAACCTGCATAACCGCAAAGGCGCTGGACGACGGCGGCTCCCTGTACTACCTCTGTGACGCCATCGACGACTTCCATCTTGACGTCGAGGAGGGCGACCTGAGCAAGAGAGCCTGGGTCTTGCAGGAGCGCGCCTTGTCGAGACGGACGATATACTTCTCCGAGAGACAGTCGTACTGGGAGTGTGGACAGGGTGTGAGATGCGAAACCCTCACCAAATTGAAAAAGTAGGTGCTTTCTGTCTGTCGATTTGCCGTGTCAAGTCCGCCAGCTGCCGCAGAGGCCGCCCAGTTAACGCGATGCCAAAAAAAACGCAGCCAACGGGCCTCGATCCTCGGCGACGCCAACTTCCCCCACTCGACCGACTCGTTCGTCAAGGGCATGAAGATTGAGCTGTATCAAGGCCTATACGAGCGCTTCTCGAACCTCCAAATCACCTTCCCCAGCGACCGGCCCGTCGCCATCAAGGGCCTCGAGACGCGCCTGCTGCGCACCTTTGGCACCACGGGCGGCTTCGGCATCTTCGACATATATCTACACCGTTTCCTTCTCTGGCAGCGCTCGGGCGGGCCGCTCAAGCGCATCACCGTGTCCCACGGGCCCAAGGTGCCGTCCTGGTCGTGGATGGCCTACACGGGCGGCATCCGCTACCTCGAGGTCCCGTACGGGGGCGCCTTGTGGGAGAGCGACGTGGTTTCGCCCTTTAGCGACGGCGACGTCGATGCGGGGGGGCCGGACGAAGGCGACACCGCCGAAGCAAAGGTCCCCGGGATCAAGGCCGTCGCGTGGGACCTGGCCTCGGACATGGCGGTCCTAACGACCAGGGGCGAGCGCGAGGCTGGGCGGGTGATACTCGACGAACCAGGCTCGGAAAGGACGGGAGCGCACAATCCAGATGCGGAGCTGAAGTGCGTCGTGGTTGGAAGGAGCAAGCAGTGGCTGGAAAACGAGGAGCAGGTCCATTATGTTATCGTCATCACGGCCGTGACCACACCGGAGGGTTCTGCCAAGGTCTGGGAGCGGATCGGGGTTGGTGTCTTGACCAGGGCCGACATCTCGCTGGAGGGCCCCGCGACAGATGTCATGATACAGTAAACGCCAGCAACAGGGTCAGGGTTGGATAAGATTGTCGTCGGCGGTTGGGATGATTGAACGGATGATGGGTCTTGGGTTGACTTGTATTGAGATAGACGGCGGCTATTGGTGGGCAACTCGCCGACCCCATTGTCAAACGCCAATCAAGGAGATACTAGAGAGAAAATTGGACAAAGTAACCCCTGGCGCAGTATTTCGAATCCGCGAGTTGAAGGAGATGACAAAGTTTACTCAACAGATAGCGCAATTCCATTCCGGCTGCGGGGCCCGACTACATCTCGGCAGTCGTCGCCCACGCGGGGTAACAAGCTGGCGGCTGATGCCGTGGCCGGCTCCATAGTTGCGAGCCGTGGTAACCCGTCTGTGTGCTTGCCACTGTGCACTCCCTGCCTGAACCCCTGAAGTGCTAGATAGGGCACGAAGTGTGCTCAACTAACTCCCTTGATAATTAGCACCACCAAAGAAGACAAGAAGCAGCCACCATGTCGAGTTTTGAGCAAACCATCACGCAGGCCGTCGAGGACCGCGAGGTGCCACCCGTGGTCCTCATCGCCGGGGACAAAACAGGTGGGGGGCCTTCTTAACAGCAGAGCAGCAGCAGCACTCTTCTCAAGAACTAACACGCGCCACTTCCTTCAAGGCAAGCTCAACTACTGCCAGTCATACGGCAGCATCTCCCTCGAGGGCGCCGGCACCGGCCCCGCCATCGGGCCCTCGAGCACCCTGGCCTGGATGTCGCTCACCAAACTCCCCACGGCCGTCGCCGTCCTGCAGCTCGTCGGCCGCGGCGCCCTCCCGCCGCTCGACGACCCGGCCGCCGTGCCCACACACCTGCCCGAGCTGGCCGCACTCCCCGTCCTCCTCGCGGGCGACGACGACGGCGGAGAAACAACAACAACAACGACGCCGCGCACCGCCCCGCTCACCCTCCGCCACCTGCTCACGCACACCTCGGGGCTGGCGTACCCGTTCCTGCCGGGCCCGCTGGCCGACCTGCTCGCGCGGCGCGGCGCCAACCCGCTCGCCGGCGTCGGCACGTCGGCGACGGTGGCCCAGCGCTTTGCGGCCCACCCGCTCGTCTCCCAGCCCGGCGCGGCATGGGCGTACGGCCCGGGCTTGGACTGGGCGGGGCTGCTCCTCGAGCGCGTCACGGGCCGGTCCCTCGAGGCCCACCTGCGCGAGCACGTGTGGGCGCCGCTGGGGCTGGCGGGCGACGCCGCGCCCACCTTCTTCCCCTCGGTGGTAGGTGGGGGTGGGGATGGTGCGGCGGTGGTGGCGACGAGCGCGCGGGATCCGAAGACGGGCAAGGTCGGGCCGCTCCCGACGACGACGCCGTCAGCACCCCGAAAGGAAGAG